GTGGAAACTTGATGGAAAAAGCTTTAGCTTTATCTCACTGTGAGAACATCAGGTTGAAACCTGAGTGGGGTACGATGACACAGCTTCATGCACGAACCCCCACTGTTTGGCTGGATTTGGGGACTATAAGGTTCAGAGTGTGAGGATCCATGGCTGATGCCCGACTGGCTCTTCAGAGCTGCAGGAAACAGTAAAAACCAGGGAATCCAGCTCTAAGGCAGACTCTGCTCCACTGAGAGTTCTTACGGTGTAAAAACATCCTCACCCAAATCTGTTTTTCCTCATGCACATGTTTGTCTAGCAACTGTTCTCCAAACCTGCAAGGGGAGCTGTTCATGCCAGGCTGCTCTGATGTAAGTAACGGAGAAAAAGTCTGAACCCTGCTCTCTTATCCCCTTTAGGCCATTATTTGGAGACAGTGGAAGCAGTGCTGCTATACTCATTTCAAGGGCTCTTCTTCTTTTTGACATGTAGCATCTTCTGCCGGCGTCCTCGCCGCAGGACACCCAGCAGTGGCTGCTCCGTCACAGGTTCTCGCCTTTCTCAAGGCTCTTCTCCAGCTTCTCAGGTAATGAGCTCTGATCTTCTCAGCTATGCGTGAAGAGGCCAGATGTAGAGTAAGCCAGGAGGGGGGGGGCAGAGCAGGGCAGCGAGCAGAGCCAGACGTTTCCTCTGCTCCACAGGTGCTGATCTCTTGAGGATGAGCAGAGAAGATCTGATCCAGATCTGTGGCCCAGCTGATGGCATTCGCCTTTTCAACACAATGAAAGGAAGGTGAGACTCACCCTGGTTCAATTCAGTTCAATTCAACTTTATTGTTGTAGCTATAAACCCCAACAACAGCCGCTATCTCCCTGCTCTCCAACCAGAGCAGCTCAGACTCTGAGTTATTCACAGAAGAACTACAGTTCCCACCAAGAGCAGCACTAGGAGACACAGGGAGGAAACAACTGCCTTTAGGGGGAACAAACCTGGAGCAGAACCATGGGGGGGGAGGGGCACGGGACTACAGGGAAGGGAAAGAGTCCAGTTAGTAACATCGTTAATGGAATGAGGCTGCACTGAGAGGGAGGAGTGGTGCATCATGGGAAATCCCCCCTATAGCAGCAGAACTAGGGCTGGACTCACCCTAACTATAAGCTCTATCAGAGAGGAAAGTCTTAATGTGGACACGGTGTCTGCCTCTGGAGCCAAACTGGAACCTGGACTCTGATAGCTGAGTCCTGCTAGCTGCTGGTGGCTGTGGAGGTGGCTGGACTGCGAGGCTCATGGGTCATTTCTGGTGGTCAGACTGAGAGCTGCAGGGAGTCTGGTGCTTACATTTGTCTGTTCTGGTGTCCCAGGTGTATACAGCCTCGTCTCACCATCTACGTTTGTCAGCAACAGAGCAGGAACCAGCCTCCCATCAAGCAGGGGGGGGCAGACAGTAAGTCCCAGACGCTTCTGTGTGATGCACAACACACAGCGTGTTGTGTAACACCTGTTGTAGTGTGTAGTGTGTGTCTGTGAGGTGTGTGTGTGTTACAGGCTGTACAGTATGTGTGTAATCTGTGTGAGGGCTGCTAGTGAGTCCAGTCATCCAGCAGGGGGGGCTGTGGAGGCAGAGCTTCCTGTGATGATGGTGATGATGATGATGATGATATGATGATGATGACAGTGAATATGAAGGTGATGAAGGTAATGAAGGTGATGATGGAGATGGTGATGATGATGATAGTGATGATGGTGATGATGATGATGATAGTGATGATGATGATGATGATGATGATGATGATGATGATGATGATGATAGTGATGATGATGATGATGATGACACTGATGATGATGATGATGATGAGAATGATGAAGGTGATGATGATGAGAATGATGAAGGTGATGATGATGATGATGATGAAGGTGATGATGGTGATGATGATGGTGATGGTGATGATGACGATGATGATGATGATGGTGATGATGATGGTGATGATGATGATGATGATGATGATGATGATAGTGATGATGATGATGATGAAGGTGATGATAATGATGACGGTGATGATGATGATGATGATGAAGGTGATGATGGTGGTGATGATGATGATGGTGATGATGGTGATGATGGTGATGATGATGACAGTGATGATGATGATAGTGATGATGAAGGTGATGATGGTGATGATGATGGTGGTGATGATAGTGATGATGAAGGTGATGATGGTGATGATGATGGTGGTGATGACAGTGATGATGATGGTGGTGATGATGATGGTGGTGATGATGGTGATGATGATGGTGGTGATGACAGTGATGATGATGATGATGATGATGATGATGATGATGATGATGATGATGGTGGTGATAGTGATAGTGATGATGATGATGATGATGATGATGGTGGTGATGATGATGATGGTGATGATGATGATGATGATGCTGGTGGTGATGATGATGATAGTGATAGTGATGATGATGGTGATGATGATGATGATGATGATGGTGATGATAGTGATAGTGATAGTGATGATGGTGGTGATGATGATGATGATGATGATGATGGTGGTGATGATTATGATAGTGATAGTGATGATGGTGGTGATGATGATGATGATGATGATGATGATGATGATGATGATGATAGTGATAGTGATGGTGACGGTCCCCTCTCTGAGGGCGCTGGGCTCAGCAGAACCTGAGGCTGGGCGGTTTCTCCTAAAACACAGGTCTTAGCAGGTCTAAGCAGGTGCTGCTTTCTCCTCCAGACCTGGCCCTGTTGGTTTGGATGACGTTTGAAATCAGTCAGTGAGACGGACAGCGGCTGTTTCAGAGTGTTGGACCTCCTGAGATGTGTCAGGAGCCCTCTGGGTCAGAGGGATTGTGCCGTAGAGCCTGCCGGCCTGGCCGTGGGCAGTGACGGGGTGTGTTGTTCCCTGCAGTCTACCACGCCCTGTACCTGGAGGAGCTGACGCTGGGGGACCTGTCCGAGAAAATCGCCCTGCTCTACAGCGTCACCCCACAGAAAATCACCCACATCTACAGACAGAAGCCCACCGGGATCCACGTCCTGGTCTCTGATGAGGTAATGCAGGAGAACCCGGGCCCCTCTGACCCCCAGAGGCTTCAGCCTGGGCCCCTCTGACACGTTTCACATGTTTGTGGATCCAAAGAAAGAGGTCAATCTGTCTCACAGTGGACTCTCACAGCCAGACAGAAGGAGTGGTGGTGACTTTAGGGATCGGTTCTCTCCCGTCCTCTGATTTCTGAGTGGAGGAAAACACGGTCGGATGATGATGGCGATCTCAGAGGCTGTTCACGGGAGGTCTGCCTCCATGTGTCTGTTTCAGATGGTGCAGAACTTCCGGGAGGAGGCCAGCTTCCTGATCAGCACCGTTCGGGGTAAACCGCTCAGCCCTCTCTGTCTTTGGATGTTTGGGGTGGGAAGTGTGAGGCCTTCACTGCACTGTTCTGTGCTCCACAGATGAAAACACCGATGGCTTTCATGTGGTGTTAAAATGACCGGCCGGAGCCGGGCCGGAGCCGGGCCGGTGTCGGTGGTGGAGTTGTACAGATGTAAATAAGTCTCCCTCTGCTCGTGCTTTAGAAGATGGCTGCATGTAGAACAGCCCAACAGGAGTCCGGCTGCCTGCGTTTGCCTCCAGTTACTGACCCTCCTCTGATACTCTCTGTGATTATTACAGATTATTACTAACCCAGCTGTATTACTCCTTTATACTGCCACTGGTTTTTAGCATGAAGCCTGGTAATGACCTTTAAATACAAATGAACAAAGTCACCTGGTGTCCAGATGTCCCTTCATAGAGCTGTGTTATATTTCACATTAGCTGCCATTTTAAGTAGCCAGATTTCTGCTTCTGTAAGTTCCTGTCTTCTACCAGTATTTTACTCCGAAATAAAGCCTGTGGTGCGGTGTCCTCTTCATGAGATATGAGGCTTGTGCTGTGTTGCCATCACATGCTAGCGGGATGCTCTCCTGATGCCTGATGATAATCTGTGAGTTTGTAAACAATGCACATCTGCTCATGTAATAAAGAAACCCGAATGTCCATTTCCATCATTATGTCAGAGAGCTGGTTCCACCGCAGGCCCGCCTCCTTCCAGCCCTGTGTGCGTCTCTCTGAACAGCCTCGGACGTACACTGACCTCCTGATTTACCTCCTGCTCATCCCAGGACATCCCCTGACTCCCGTTTCTCTGCTCTGACACAGGGGGTGCTTTTCCTCTGGGGGCGGGCCCCAAAAACAGCTTTAGGGGGGGGGCGAACTTTGTGACTTAAGGCCACAATGGGTTCTAAAAAGGGGTCGAGCCAGGAGTATTTGGACACACAGTGTAGATCATCAAAGCTAGGGATGGAAATATGGAAGTAAACAGACACAGTTGAAGGTGCAAAGTTTAATGAAACAACAGTTACTGGAAAAAGATGAATGGAATCACTTTCACATTACGAAATACGCAATCACTTCAAATAGTTTTAACCCCTGGAAGAAAGAAACCAGAAAGGGTCCTTAAATAGGTCCTTATTTAAGGATCTTAAATAGAGCTGATGGCACTTCAGTGAAAACATATTTAGTAGTCCACTCCCCTCTGAACACTCGGCCCTCATTGTCCATCTTTTCTCTGGTCCGCTGATTTTATCCGGCAAAGGTTAATGTGTTTACTAGTGCGCCATCTATTGGGAAAATGAGGGTATTGCAGGGCAAATGGAAATGAATGAGGTTTTTACACATCCATGGGTTTTTAATATCATTTGAACAAGTTCAAATTCAGCCAATCAGAGACATTGTAGATGCTAAATACATAAACCTCCACTGAGGTTCAGCCGGCTTCCAGCTGATTTGATGCGTTCTCAAGCAGTCATGTCTTCTTGTGTAATTACAGGTTTGTAATTAAGTCATTTGGACCTTCAGAAGCAACTTTTAAACACATGAATACATATTTCAGATACAAAGATCCTGTATCTGGATCCTATCCAGGTGACAGGCAGAATGTGCAACGCCACTTTGGCTCCTGTGACGCAAAATTGAAATTAGCAGGAAGTTCTGCGTTGCAGGAAGAATAGTTTCACTTAGGTTTTGTTTCCCCCGACCCCCCCCCCCCCCCCCCCCCCCCAGACTCTGGTGGGACTCCGGTTGGACTCCGGTAGGATTCTGGTGGGACTCCGGTGGGACGCGCTCTCAGCATCCGTGCCACGGCGGGGGGAGGCCCGCGGCACAGACCAGGTGAGTTAGGTGTTTCTGTGGATGAGAACCGCATAAGGACCCGCTCCGTTTCCAATCAGAGTCAGAAATAAGACCCGATAAGGGCGTGCACAGCTTCCTGCTTTCGGTCCTCCGTGGCTGGAACCGGTCCGGATGAGGTTCTGGAGAACCAGAGCGGGTGCCCTTTAACATTAAAGACTAATTCCTGCTCAGAATGTTGACAAAAGTGCAGAACTCCCACCCAGAATTACCAAACTTCCGTTTCAGTTTGGTTATTCTGGGAGAGGCTGCCAGGCACCGGGGCGGTGGACCAGAACCAGAACCTCCAGGAGGCCTGGAGACAGTTCAAACCCTCAATCTGGACCATCAGAACGCTACACAGCCTACAGTCCTGTTTCCTGGTTCTGAGGACACCTGAGAACTGGACTGATGTGGTGCTGTTTCCTGGTTCTGGTTCTGAACTGGACTGAGGTGGTCCTGTTTCCTGGTTCTGGTTCTGTACTGGACTGATGTGGTCCTGTTTCCTGGTTCTGAACTGGACTGATGGGGTCCTGTTTCCTGGTTCTGAACTGGACTGATGTGGTCCTGGTTCCTGGTTCTGAACTGGACTGATGTGGTCCTGTTTCCTGGTTCTGAACTGGACTGATGTGGTCCTGGTTCTGAACTGGACTGATGTGGTCCTGTTTCCTGGTTCTGAACTGGACTGATGGGGTCCTGTTTCGTGGTTCTGAACTGGACCGATGTGGTCCGGTTTCCTGGTTCTGGTTCCGAACCGGACTGATGTGGGCCTGTTTCCTGGTTCTGAACTGGACTGAGGTGGTCCTGTTTCCTGGTTCTGGTTCTGAACTGGACTGAGGTGGTCCTGTTTCCTGGTTCTGGTCAGAACTGGACTGATGTGGTCGTATTTCCTGGTTCTGGTCAGAACTGGACTGATGTGGTCCTGTTTCCTGGTTCTGCAGAGACCTGAGAATTGGACTGATGTGGTCCTGTTTCCTGGTTCTGCAGAGACCTGAGAACT